CAGAGAAATTCCCTCCCTGTTGAGATATCTATTGCGATACTATGAAAGCCCACAGAGTACTTACAATATCAAAAGGAAACTAAGATGACATTCACAATAGAAAAACCAAATATAAAGACAATACTCCAGCACATTTGTGAGAGCTGGAAATCCTATCCTTCAAGCCTCAGCTTCAACCTGATCTCTCACACCTCGACCCTAGCATCCAAAACCCTACATAAGCCTCTCCTGACCCCACCAACTGCCTTAACAAACTTCACGCTCCACTAACCAACTGTCATGTGTGAATTCCCCTTTTTATCCTTCCTTTCATACACATAGATTAATCGGAGGTCTCAAAGAATCTTGTGTAGATTGTCAAACCAAATTGTTTGCCAGAAATTTAAAAGTTTGCCTTCTCATTTCTTTTGTTTTGTTTTTTTTTTTTTTTAACCAAACATTTCCGCAGAAATCGCTAGTTTAGGCTTCATGATTGTGGCTTAGACTAACATATAAAAATTACTGATGGCGAGATTCAAGCACAAACGATCCTACCTTTATCCCAAGAAAAAGCCAAATTCCTCAATGACACTCCTGACTCCAGTAAGGGTTCAATTACTAAAGAAAAAATGATAACAAACCAATCCCTACTTTAGAATCCAATACCTACTGGCTAAGATGCACGGACACTTTAGTTAGGCTAGTGTGTCCATGTTCAACATGCCAGACACTTGGACGCTCCAACACTTGCTGCATATTGCACACTTGTCAATGTAATAGATGTGTTAGATACTAGTTGTACAAAGTCAAAATAGGTCTAATATTTGTTAGACATGCATCAAGCACTTGTTAAGTAAACTAAATTGACATATATATGATAAAAATAAAAAAATTTGGGAGCAAAATACATCAAATTGATCTTTTAAGCATATAAATGCATAAACTCACTGACTTTGAATTTCTTTCTTGTTTAAAATTATATATACTATAAAAATGTAAATTTTAATAAATGTGTCTTTGTCGTGTCTATGTCCGTGTCCTTTAAAATATAATGTGTCACAGTGTCCATATTGTATCCATGTCTCATATCCTTACTTCTTAACCTACCGGAAATAGTTTCTTTTTTTTTCTGTTAATTTTACCCAAAACTAAAGGTTAAATATAAATGGAAATACTTGAACTACTTTGAGTCTATAGAATAGGTCATATATGTCCAACACATTAAACGATAAAAGGAACAGAAGCATACTTGACGGGCTTTGACACCGATCCTATTTAAATAAGCAGCAAAAATCCTCGTAGACATGCACTCCCCAAAGGAAACTAAGTAATCTCTTGTTCGAAGTGTTAATTCTTTCATCATAGCAATTCCCTTGAGTAGTTGCTCCAACTCATCGAGGTGATCTGCAACGTAATTATGTATTATATATGTATATGATCAAGGTATTATTGCTGTAAAATTTTAAGGTATAAATGTCATCATTTGCAATGCTTATGCTATTGCATGATTTATGATCCTGATATCAATAGAAACGAATCTGTAGGAAATGCATTATATTGTCACAAGGGAACAAGAAAAGGGGTTATAAATTCAAGCCATCAGATGAAGATATCCCTTTCTAACATATAGGTATTTGCATCATCATGCTCATATATTCCAGCATAACCTAAGGCAATTAGAATATAAAAAACAAGGTACCCAATGCAAATGGAAGACCAATCAAGAAATGCTACAGAACTAATCTTATACTTTCATCGCTGCCACTTCGACAGGAAAAATTTTAGATACCGCTGATGCACAACAATAGATAATATTATCACCAGATTGTAGGATGACAAAACAGCAACCTAAATTAGAAATGTCCAGATAAACCACAATCTCTGCATATTAATGCAAGGTGTTCATAAAGACTCTCGACAAGCATAAAAGCAAGTTGAACAACTACTCTGTTTTTTTCTTCTTAAAAATATTGATTTTTCTTTCAGACACTGAGTTGATATTTGCAAGTTGATGCTCAACAATGCATAGTAATTCAATAATTTCTGAATGAGATCCTCTGTATATGTAATATTTGATACTTCTAAATTTTATACCAAGAATATAAAAGGAGAAATAGGAACAGTCACCCCATTCTCATTCGTACTCATCATTATTGTTCAGCTTATTCTCCTTGCTTACATCTTGTTGGAAAAGAAACTATCTTATTCATTTCTCAATCCCGAAGACTAACTTTTGTTACTTTCATATTCTCTTCACTTTTTCTTATCAGTTCGTGCTAGCCTAAAATTTATGCTTATTCCAGAAAACAACAGACAAAATCAATAAGAAAGTATCAAACTGGAGGAAAAAAGAGAGGCAGCAAGAATATGAACTATTAAATTAACAAGTTTCAAGCACAAAAATATAGCTTACTTGCAATAATAGACCTGTTGACTCCAAGCTCATCTGCAGTCCTAAAAAAACCATGACAACGCCCTGTGAGGATGATTTACGACATTATTCAGAAGTGGCTTGAAGGACTCAAATTTCTTACTTCAGATGCAACTGTTTTATGAATTTCATCTCTTCAATATCCGATGCATTAGTAGCGCCACAGCTAACAGCCTTTTCTCCAGCCTATTAAGTTAGCATGCAACTCTGAATCATCCACAACGGGAGTGTATTGAAAGAGAATAAAACACCTTTCTACATATATAATAAGTAGAGAAATTTGGAAAAGCAAGTGCATACCAGCAAAAGTTTGTTGGTTGTCTTTCCCATTGCCGAGAGAACAATCAGTGGCCGCTCCTCAGGGAAGCTGCGTATAAGTTCAGCAACCTCTATCATTCTCTCTGCAGAAGCCACTGACGAGCCACCAAACTTCATGACACATGTAAAATGTTGCTCGTTTTCCACAGAACTTCTAGACTCGATTACTTTTTTGTCAAGCACGTCTCCAAGTCTTACTTCGCATCTGACTCTCAAACCTGCACGTCCAAAAGATAGTTTCTTCCCATTCGTGTACAATCCAGCACTTCGCGCAATGGATGACACAAAATGAAGATGCGGAGACAGTGAACGTTGGCAACGCAGTGTTCTACTCATAGAGACAGGGCAAAAAGTTGCGCCTCCAAGAAGATTCAATGCGCCTTCCATGAGTTACTTCGACACAATCACAATAGTTCAACACAAATAATTTTCGAAAACCTTGAATAGAACTCTTTTCGATTCAAAAACTTCAAAACTGCAGCTCGATCTGTACATTCCACAAAGCAAACGGTCAATTCGAAGAATGTCCACAACCACAAAACCCAACCAGAAGCCATTAATAGCCACCTTAACTCTCATTTTCCCCCATTTTCAACATGCAAGTCAGTAAATAAATCAATAAATGAATCGCATATATTAAAACAAGCAAATCGCTCCATTCTTCTTCAAAACAGCCAAACACCTCCAAGCGTATTGCTCAAGAACCAAAGATAAGGAACAGTACCTCAATGACTGAGCTCCAAGGATTGAGTAGAGGAAATTCTTCAGATAACGAAGATAGGATCGAGATTGCGAAACTACAAAATGAAAATACTTCTCGTATTCCCTCGGAAAAATGCTCGGAGTACTCCGGTTTACGGCTCCGACGATGAAGGGAATGCGAGGGAATAGCGACACAGAAAGCCAGAGGCGGCGCCCGTTACAATTTTAAGAATCAATTAATCAGTTTGTCCAAAATAAATAAATAAAAATGGTCAGAGATTTTCCACAAAGCCCAAAAGAATAATTTTGAAAGACCATAAAAAAAAAAAAAAAACAAAAAAGTTGAATATATATATTAAATTAATAAAAATATTTATAAGTATTTTATATTTTATCTAATTTCAATAATATTTTTAAACCCATTTAAAAAATACTTAAGATTAGCACAATATTTGAAAAACTATTCTATAATTTTTGTATTAATATCGACCTTTATAAAAAAAAAAAATTAAAAAGTTCGTCAATATATAAAAAGGATACGGTCGCAGTATCTAGTAAAACATCTTCAAACTTTTTAATATTTTTTTAATTTAATGATATTAATGTTACTATTTCAATCTATATACTTTATTTAAATTTTTTAAAAAGTTAAAAAATATTAATGAAACGTTTAAATGTACGTTAAAGAATATTTTAAAATTTTATTTCAGAATTCGAATATATTTTTAAAATAAAATATTAAAAAATTCATAAGGGTAACCGTATTCTTTAGAGTTTAATTGTTTGAGTGTGTCCTAATCTTTTAAATTACATGGGATTCCGACTAATTATAAATTAAAGTGACAGATTTAAGCTCTTTTTCTTTGTTTTTTTCCCCTTTGTAAATTTGGGAAACCTTATGATGGTTCGAATGGACGATCAAACTTCAAATAACTTAGCTGTCACCAATGACCCATAATTCAATTATGGACGAGTGGCTTTATACTACCATCTGTCTCAAGTATAACCCAATTTAGTTTGACTGTTTAAACAAGTCGTGTGCTTTGACTTCCTATAAAGTAAACGGTGGATATAGATCCTGTCACGAAATAAAAATGTCAGGTTTGCTAGAATAGCATGGATCTTTGTGACATATTTGAAGTTTGTATGAACTACCTGAATAATTTAAAGGACATAAACATCATGTCGTTTTTTGGACCCAGAGAAAATATGCGAACGTCCATATCTTAGGCAGAGCATTTTTGTTAGCAAAGACGAAAATACAGATTTACTTAAATTAATAACCATACGCTTTAACTTTTTATATTTTATATAAAAATATTTTAAATTTTAAAAAATCTAAAAAAAAATACACAATTATTATTTTTTTGAACTGAAAAAATAAAAACTATTTCACCATTTATGTTTTATTTAATTTAAAATAACATACTAATTAGTTTAAATTTTTATATATTATTAAATGTTTTAACACTTAAATTTTATTCCTTAAAATTATTTATTTTTCTTTCATAGCGAAAAAATAGACGATTATTTTCAAACAGAGTACCTATAAATAGAAAATATAAGCTAAAATTCTTCTCTCTCTTTCAGCAGCGTAACGCTCTGAAACCCTAATCTTACCACCAAAACCCTAATCCCCAATCTCCTCCATGGCGTGTACCATCGACTTCCGGCGCCTGGACGAGGGCTTTGGGGGAAAGACCTACAAGCGAAAGCGTGAAGAAGCTGAGAGCAGCCTCAACATCATCAGCTCTGAAAATGCCGACGCCTCCATGGACGTCGATGAGTCGCTTCCACCGCTCAAGCGATCCGCGATTCCTTCATCGGAGAATCCTGACAAACCGACCTTCGGAAACCCGACCTATGACGGCGTGATCGCCGGAAAGGTCTCCGGACGGAAGTGGAAACAGCCGCGGAAGCACAGGACGTCCGCTATGCTGGTGAGCCGAAAAGGCACCACGTTCGAGGAGAGGGAGAGGCAGAAGATGATTAAGGCCGCGTACAGGGAACGGAAGGAGGAATTGAAGGAGCAGATTAGGTCAAACAAGGTGGAGAAGAGGAAGAAGAAGGAAGAGAGAGAGAAGAAGAAGAAGGAGAACATTTTGAGATCTGGAACTAAGCTACAGAAGATTACAAATCCCAAGACACTGAAGAAGATCGCCAAGTCTAAGCAGAAGAAACTATTGAAGGTTGTTCCTGAGGATTACATTAAAAAGTAGGTCAGTTGCTTCTGTTCTCAGGTCTTCTTCAGTGATTCCACCATCATTCTAGCATTATAGATAGATTTGTCTGTTTTCTTTTTCTTAAATTTTGGACTTTTTCTTGTTGAATTTTTTCGTATGATGTACTTGAAACATATAAAACTCAACCTAAGGAAATCAAAACAAATAGCTGCGTTTCTTGATGTTTACTTTTATAACAATATTGAAATTTTTGATCGTCTCTTAATATTGGTGTCGATCATTTATCACATATCCACAGATATTTTATTCTTACACCACAGGCAACTTTTCATGTTCATCGCCAAAGATTGCTGCTTTTGAAATCCAAAATCATCACGTTCCATGTTGATAATTTTATACAGAGTTCATAACCAAGATGCTAGAAAATCTTATTGTTGATGTTTATATGTTGAGAAAGCAAATGAAAAATATGGAAATTCACATAATCATATGGATCAAGTAGTGAAGTTCAAGCGATTGGATACAACGTAGTTTGAACACATTGACATGTATGAACGTGAGTTCCTAAGTTGTAAAAGATAACATAGATTAGAAGAATAAATTTGATGGCGGCCCTGGGGGAATGATCCATATCAGGAGAGGCCTTAAACAAGGTGACCCTCCCTCACTCTTCCTTTGGGAAGAGTTCTCTTTGGGTCCGTAGCCTTCTTTTTGCTGATGACACTATTCTCTTTTCCTCCATGGATGTTTTAGCTATCGACAACCTTCTTGGCCTTGTGAGCTTCTTGGAGAAACAGATTGATTTGAATTGATTGCTAGCAATTTTGGTTGTGAACAGGGCCAACGGTCAAAACAATATCTTGACCGTTCCCCTCGTGTTAAGGGTTAATAAACGTCGATCATTGTTGTTTTGGACCTCTTTGTGGAGGAAATTGATAGAATAACGCGTTGAGTCATTCTTAAGGTTTTTAAAAAGCGTCGGCTAGGGAGAAGTTTTCATACCCTTATAAAGAATGCTTTGTTATCTTCTTCCACTTACGTGGGATCTTAAGGAGTGATAAAAAGTGTATGCTAGGGAGAGGTTTCACACCCTTGTAAAAATGTTTTGTTATCTCCGCATGGGATCTTAAGGAGTGATAAAAATCATTCTCTTCTAAATGGAATTGAATATATAACCGAGGAAAGACAAATTGGACCTTGGCTCTCCATTATGTTGCGACCATTGGGGCTTGAACGTTGGATTAGGCTAATTCTTCCATAGCGCTCGCTTTCGTCACATGGTTCTCTCCAAGTCACTCATCGTTAATCAATTTATTTACAGCTCGTATAGCCTCTCACTAAATGTAAATATTTGTGTAAGAAAGTCGAAAATCATATTAAACAAATGGGTAAAAAATAAACCTACATTTAAAAAATAAAAATGCTAAAACATATTTATAGAAAAACAAACAAAACTAAAAAGATCAGTTTCTAATATATTAGAGGTTTAATGGTTAGTTTAGTTCTCAAGAACAAGGAACCCTCTTCCTCAAAATCATCTCTTTCACTGATAAGAGCAGTTTCCCCCCTGATGAACATCAAGTTTAGCATACAATAAAGCTTAACCTCTCAAATTTTTATGTATATTATATATATATATATATATATATGAATATATATATATATTTCCGTTCAATAGGAAACTGAAAGGTTAACCTCAATAGTCAGAGAACAAAAAACAATACTCAAAACGGAGACCAGAGACCAGCAACTTACTTGAGCATATTAGGCATCAAAAACCAGTTTGCGGTTGAGCTTCTCACCCAACTCAATGATAAAGGTTCTGATTTCCATAGGGGAGAGTTCCACCACTAACTTTTTAGGGTCTACAGCTTCTCCTCTCTTGGCTTTAACTTCATCTGAACCATTCTCTACCTTCCACACCATTCGTTTCTTCTCCATATCTGTCCTTTTTTGATTTGCAGACAAGTTCATTTCTGTTACCCTCTTGATCTGAAATGGATTGGAGAACTATAAGTTACAGAAAGAAGGTAAATGATTAGCAGCTAGTTTTGAAGAATCTGTTGCTCATACCTCCTCTTCTGGAAATAGCTTCTTTAGTTCTACTCTAGTAATCACTGAATATTCCTTTTCCTCTCCAGTCTTTGCCGTTTTCATAAGCCAACAGAATAACATATTAGTATTTAGGATAAAAAACAGTGAGCATTAGGGATTGATCGTTTGAAACATACAGCAGGTTTTTTTTAACTTAGCAGCCAAGATAGCTGATAAATAAAATGATGAACAGTACTTACTGACATTGTGAGATCCCATATCGATTGGAGAGGAGAACTAAACATTTTTTATAAGGGTGTGGAAACCTTTCCCTAGCAGACACGTTTTAAAAACCTTGAGGGAAAGCCCAAAGATGACAATATTTGCTAGTGGTAGGCTTGGGCTGTTACAAATGGCATCAGAGACAGACATCGAACGATGTGCCAGAAAGGAAGGTGGATTGTGAGATCCCACGTTGGTTGGGGAGGAGAACGAAGTATTCTTTATAAGGGTGTGAAAACCTCTCCCTAACAGATGCGTTTTAAAAACCTTGAGAGGAAGTCTAAAGGGAAAGCTCAAAGAGAACAATATCTACTAGCGGTGGGCTTAGGCTGCTACGGACATGTTTTCTCCTGTCCTCTTTAAAGTAGCATAGAAACTTTGGACAGATTTAATAAATGAACCACCAAAATCATAATCTAGATGCAAGGGGATTATCACTGGCCAGGCACTGACAACGATGGAGAAGTTGGCAGGAAGAATTATAACTAAAAAACCATTTTCTCTAGTCCTTTTCTAAAATTTCATCCAGAAAATCTAGAGAAAATAAAGCAACCCAGGATTATTCATGTACAAAATATTAGCATACATAGCCATGGAGCATCAATTCGGGATATACTCGAGTTCGTAAGTACCAGCATAAATGTTTGTATGTCATTCACAAGCAAGATTATAATAAACTCAAGCCAAACTTGATCAAGAGAAAGTGAAACTACTTCCTGAGCAGGGATAGAGTAGCACCTCATACAAATGAGCCAATCGAAGTAGAACGTTTCGATCGTGAATTTCCTGTTTAAAATTAGACGAACGAGACAAGAAAAAGTTACAAATGAAGATGGGTGTTGAAGAAGCATGGGATCAGACCAACAAAAAGATCATCATTACCTGTAAAGTTATAACAGCAACATTTTTGGGTAAACTGTACGAGGAATCAATTCCAGAGAAAGTAAGTTTATGAGAATTTGCCCAATTATCTCCATCCTGCAGGTTAATTATCTAGTAAGGTTAATATAATTATTTAATAATTTATAACTTTACCTTTTCACTTCCTCTAATATTCACCTGTTCAGCAAAGGCTAGGAGAAGTGGAGAAAAGACCTCCTGACCAAAAGAACGTCGCCATTTTGCACCTTCTCCTAAAGGGTCAATTCTGTAATATAACCTTCCTTGAATCTGCATAGCATAATGTGAAACGTGAGTACTAAAAGTGGTACAGGACAGGAAAGGGGAGAGGAAGAACAAATGCAAAATGAATAAAAGAAGAAGATATGAGACAGAGTTTGTGGGGTGATGTGAGAAAAAGAACAATTATATTAGTTAGTTTTGATTTTGCTAATTGAGAATTTTATTGTTTGTTTTTGCTCGTTACATATCGCCATCAACCTCATGGTTTTAAAACGCGTCTGTTTGGAAGAGGTTTCCACACTCTTATATAAGAAATGTTTCTTTCTCCTCTCCAACTAACGTGGGACCTCACAATCCACCTTTTTGGGGTCCAGCATCTACGCTGGCACATTGCCCGGTGTTTGGCTCTGATACCATTTGTAACAGTCCAAGTTAGGGGTGTACATGGTCCGGGTTGGGTTGGGTTGAGGGATTCTTTTGACCCAACCCAAAAGTTCGGGTTGGTTGGATTGGTAACCCAACCCAACCCAACGAGCGAAAATTGTAACATATTGGCGTCAAACTCAAGCGTTAGTGTTCTTAGATCGGCTTAAGTACCACTCTGGCAAACCCATTTATACAGAAGAATTCTTAATATAATTTATATATTTTTATTTGACTCGGGTCAACCCGAAGGTTTTGCCCACGAACCTGAAACCCAACCGATTCAGTTTGGGTTCCGAAAAATGAACCCAACCCTACCTGAAATGTTAATCCAATTCTACCTGAAATGCTAATCCAACCCAACCCAACCCAACCCTTATAGTTTGGGTTGGGTTGGTCCGGGTTGTCGGGTTGTCAGGTTGAATGTACACCCCTAGTCCAAGTCCACTGCCAACAGATATTGTCCGTTTTTGCCTGTTACGTATCGCCGTCAGCCTCACAGTTTTGAAACGCGTTTGTCAGGAAGAGGTTTCCACACTCTTATACGAAATGCTTCGTTCTCCTCTCCAACTGATGCGGGATCTCACAATTCACCCCCTTAAGGCCCAACGTCCTCGCTGGCACATCGCTCGGTATCTAGCTCTAATACCATTTGTAACAATTCAAGCCCACCGCTAGCAGATATTATCCGCTTTTATCCATTACATATCACCATTAGCCTCACGATTTTAAAACACCTCTGCTAGGAAGAAGGTTTCCACACTCTTATAAGGAATACTTCGTTCTCCTCTCCAACCGACGTAGGACCTCACAACATACCTTAACCTGAACTTCAATTCATAATATAAAATAAAAGAAAAGAAGAAGAAAAGCTGTAGGTGCCATATATTTCGTAGAGTTGGGCGCAGGCACTTACGATTAGTCCTCTGCATTCATTATGAATACAAACTGTTTCATTCAAAGCCTCTTCAACACCTCTGGAATCATCTAGTAACAGCCTCCTGTTTAGTAAAAAAACGAACATAAATAAGGTCCGACAACACATTATGCATAAAGAAAAAGTGTCCCAGTGTCAATTAGCAATCTAGCGAGTTGTGATTATATCAACCAACTATCAAACCGCACAGGCAAACCTTCAGCAGCTCTTAGCACCTGTAAATAGGAGCAAAAAGGAACTACACTTCTTCTAAAAAAATATAACTATGCACCTGTGAAGCATCAGCTCTAACTGCCCATCAACTAGGCTGGAGCCCCCTACAGCACGGTCCACCAAAACTGAAAATTCTTTCTTATCATCTTGTGTATAGATCCCAAGATTTATCTGAAAGGACAATTCCATTTAATGAAACAACTACAGAGCACAAGATCAGAAACCATATTCGTCTACAAGAAATGCACACATTCTGGTGAGAAATTACCTTATATTACACTTATGCACTATTCATTTTCGAGTACACAATATGTAGGGCTGGAGATTCAAACTTGGGCCTTTTTGTCTATGTCTTAACTAGTCGAGTTAGGCTTAGGTTGATTACACTTTCATCGACACATGTTCATTGGTTAGGTTGATTATGTTGAGGATGGTTGGGAGGGAGTCCCACATTGGCTAATTTAGAGGATGATCATGGGTTTATAAGTAAGGAATACATCTCCATTGGTACGAGGCCTTTTGGGGAAGTCATGAAAGCTTATGTTCAAAGTGGACAATATCATATCACCACATATCATATCATTGTTGTGATCTGTGATTCCTAACAGATTACTCCTTCTGGGGTGGTAACGTTGACAAAGGAGCCACCCCAAAAGCGACGACACAACTTTTAAACGCTCATCTTACGTGGAAGATAAAGTGTTAATGGCCTCAAGAAATCCTCTAATAAAGAGTGAAAGAGGTTTCAGAGGAAAAACTCGTTGTTATTCTAGTAATTAGAGACATATTTAAAGAACCTGATGTACATCGGAGTCCTAAAGGGTAGTTGTTACAGAAGAAAATGCTCCAAAAAGGTCACAGAGACACAAAATCACTTACTGGATAATAATTTCCTGCAACGGGTTGGTTCACTTCCAGGTTCCAGTCTGCTCTATAGTCTCGAATCTACAAAAATGAATAATCAGATAATATCCAGTCAAGGAATCAGAGGAAATCATCACTCTCCAGATGATGATCAAGTAATTACAATGCGGAAGAAAGTTCTTAGGTTGAGATAAGTCAATTCTAAAGTGAAATAAAGTGAAAAAGAAATAAGCTGAAGTCATACCCTTTTGATGAAATCTCTGCCATTGGAATCTGTATAAAATGTTTTGTTGGTTTTCATAGATGTCGTAATTTGAGTTGCTACTTCTTTGCCAACTCCATCATCAATAGGTATCGGCCCAACCTAAAAGCCACATAGAGTAAGCAACAGTAGCAGTATTAGATGCAGAAATTTACTAAGAGGGAAGTTTGTTTGTTGGGGAGTTGAGAGGTTTGAGAAATAAGATAAATAATGAAGACAAAAAATCACAAGATTCAGAGCAGAAAATGGTTTTATTTTTCTTTTTAGTTAAAAAAATGTTCAAGCCCACCGCTAGCAGAAATTGTCCTCCTTGAGCTTTCCATTCCGGTCTTCCCCTAAAGGTTTTTAAAACGTGTTTTCACTCCCTTATAAGTAATGGTTCGTTCCCTCCCCTCTCCAACCAATAGGGGATCTCACAATCCACCCTTTGGGGGCCAGCGTCCTTGCTAGCACATATAGCAGTGCCTGACTCTGATACCATTTGTAACCGCCTAAGCCCACTGTTAGTAGATATTGTCCTCTTTGGGCTTTCTCTTCTAGGCTTTCCCTCAAGGTTTTAAAATGCGATTTCACACCTTTATAAGAAATATTTTGTTCCCCTCTCCAACCAATGCGGGATCTCACAATCCACCCCTCCCAGTCGGGGGGTGGATCGAATCGAAATTTCCCTAGGTAGCCACCGACCTACAGTTATCCTTAAACTTCCGTGCTTGGTGGAGAAGAAGCGAACAAAGGTACGCTTGCTTCCTGTCTTGTTCTCTGCTGCGAACTGGGATCGCTTGCTCGCCAGCTAGGTCAGATTGGAGCAACCTTTTATGAGTACATAGGACCCTTATTCGGGGACAAGGGGCGGAAGGACCTCTCGATCTACTTACAGCTGCCCAGGAAGAAAAATGTCGTCTAGGCGTTCCCTCTTGCTCCGATCTCCACTACGCCTAGGACGTTGTCTGGGGCGTTAAGACCGGAGCTTTTTGCTAGCAGTAATGCAAGTGAATGAATCTTCGGGACCCAACGTCTACACTAGCACACCGTTCGGTGCCTGGCTCTGATACCATTTGTAATCGCCCAAGCCCACCGCTAGCAGATACTGTCCTCCTAGAGCTTTCTCTTCCGAGCTTCCCCTCAAGGTTTTAAAACGTGTCTATTAGGGAGAGGTTTCCACACCCTTATAAGGAATGTTTCGTTCCCCACTCCAACCAATATGGGATCTCACGTGAACTAAAACTAACATTGACATTCAATCACCAACATATTGAAATTTATTAATAAATAAAAATATATTATTTTGCTTAATTATTATATTATTAATGATAATATTTATTTCCTACATCATGAATACTTCTATAAAGTTCATACACTTACTATTGTACTCAAGTATTTAATTAGATAATTATTTTACAATAAAACTAATAAAGATTAAATTTTCTACGGATATTAATAAATATTTCAAATAATATTAAATTGTAATTATAAGCTAAATCATTTGCAAATAGACATTGCAGCACATGTTCAGTCAATGCCCCTCCTTTCAACCTGTAGTGTCGGAACACCATATGTAGAACAAATCAGGCATTCTGTTATGCACTCTAAGTCTCATCTTATACATTTGCTACTTTGCTTGCTTGCTCAAAGTAAGAGTATAAGAGATTATGCAGTAAAACTTACAGTAAATTCTACTTCAACGTGCTCTCTTCCCTTTTGAAGTCTGGTTACCTACAAATGTTAAAATGGCAAGAACCGAAAATATTAATCGCTGTGTAGTAAAACGTAAGACGACTTACGTTCCAGAGCTTCAATTTTACGACAACGAGATAGCGACCCAAGAGATTTTTTTACTCAGTTGACTAATTCTTAATACAGTTGACCAAAAAAATGATCCAAAATTTCCAAATGCTTTAGCTTTCACGTTCAGATCTCATTATCTTTTTGGTTATCTTCTATGTTGGATGATGAAAGTCCCACGTCGGCTAATTTAGGGAATGATAATGGGTTTATAAACAAAGAATACTCTCTCCATTGGTATGAGGCCTTTTGGGGAAGCCCAAAGCAAAGCCATGAGGAGCTTATGCTCAAAGTGGACAATATCATACCATTGTGGAGAGTCGTGATTCCTAACATTCTAGATATATATTTTCCATCATTCCTTTTCATGACACGAAGGTTCTTATTCAATGAAATTAAGAGCCAAAAGGATTTGGAAGAATACGAGAAAAGAAAATACGAGATCTAACCATGACAGGAACCAAAAGGGATGTATGATCCATGGTGTTTACGAAAGACCTTCCCCAACGAGGAAGTATAACTATAGGGAGTAGAAATATTAGACAGTTTACATCAAGATATAGCTTGGTATACAACATTGTCGAAAAGTTTTGTGTAGGTTTGTGTCTTTTCTGCAAATATTCTCTGATTTCTTTCTACAAATGAAGGTATTAGTAATAGTAATATAAGACCGTCCTATATAAAAGAAATACCATAAAAGAACAAAAAACACTAAAACAAGATAATTAATTATTATCATGAACATGAACAAGATTATTACCTGATAGATCCAGGGATTTATCTGTTGATGTACTTCTTTGATCAACGGACCTCGTATAACTGTCACGGGAACCTGAAAAGTCGAAGAAAGTTCTCTCATGAGAATTATGTTTGATGCCTAAGGTCCTTATTCTCGGCGAGGAAACATACCTGTTTATTGGGAACTATGGGAAATGTCCCATTTGGACGGAAAATATAAGCCCCAGCATTCTGAAAATGTTACCAATGGAGTTAGAAATCAAATGACTGGAATAACCATTTTCAAATAACAGTCTACCTGTGGAGCTTTGTCCCGTCTTCCATCATACCCTGGATAGTAGCTGTATGATTGATCAACCAATTCATCAACCTTCAATGATTAAAAATAGATATGTCAGCTACATAAACTCACAGGTTCTTCCTTCCTTTCTTCTCTTTTTTTTTCAAGAAGAGGGCTCAAAATGAAGAACAGTTCGGTGTTTTTGCATAAGATTGTTATGCAAAATAAACTTGTAGAGTTGCGTAAGATTGTTTGTTAGAATTCATACCAAACTCTTGCTGTTTCCATAAACAATTTTTCCTTGATCTGCAGAAAATTTAAGCTGCAAGTTTCCGTTACCGACTTGAAAAGTGGAAATATCACCGCTCGGAAATGTATGAATAGAAGATTTTATTGAATTAACGCCTGCACCAAAGTGTGACAATGATATGAGTTCCTGTAACGGTCCAGATCCACTTCTAGTAGATATTGTCCTCTTTGGGCTTTCTCTTTCGGGCTTCCCCTCAAGGCTTTAAAATGCGTCTACTAGGGGAAGGTTTCCACACCCTTATAAAGCGTGTTTTGTTCTCCTCCCCAACCAATGTGAGACATCTGGTGTTCCAACTTCCACATACAATTTAGTTCAAACATGGAACAACTCTGTATAAGCCAACCTGCCCTCCTGGAGGTTGAGATAATATATGTGCTGAAGCCAAATGGTGGAACTGAAACTGGAAATGCAAGCCAAAATTTTGGAGTTACAGAAGGATTGTTGCCTAAGTAGGCCTTTACAAAATTTTGGGTCCCACATCGATTGGAGAAGGGAACGAGTGTCATCAAGGACATTGAGTCTTAAAGGGGGTGGATTGTGAGATCCCACATCGGTTGGAGAGAAGAATGGAACATTCTTTATAAGGGTGTGGAAACTTCTCACTAGCAGACGCGTTTTAAAAACCTTGACGTAAAACTCAAAAGGGAAAGCTCAAAAGTTCATAATCCCAAAAATTATCATGTTAGATACTAATTTGCAGAACTAGAACAAAGAAGAAACAACGCACCTGCTCTACATATATAAATTTTCGATTCGAGTCAGCCAGTAGAGCTGTAACCATAGAATCCAACACATTCTGCACGCAAGCTCCCTGCATTGAAAAGCGACAGAGATCAAAACCCTATTTCACGATCATTTCACACGAAGAGTCGGAAAAGAAACAAAACCTGAATGGAGTTATTAGAGCCAACATAATACTGATCAACCGTCTTCAACCATCCTACATCGTCATGCGTATGCGCGACCAAGTGAACATTAAGCTTCCCAGGAACAACACTCTGCGAGGTATTATACACCATGAACTTCGATTCAGCGCCAAAAACCACCGATAGAAGGATCGCACCGAAACATAGCCATAGAGTCCCCGCCATTGAAAAAAAAACTAAACTAAACAGGATGAAGATTTCAAGCTCTAACTCAAACAGAGCGAAGAACTCACAAGTGCTGTTCTCAGTTAAATCGACGAACCAGCAGCAATGGAGCTCGATTTCAACTGCATTTTCAGAGGAGCTATCTCATGGAAAGTGAGTAATGGTGAGTAAAAATGGCGGAAGCGGGACTTTTGGAGTGTTAGACCAACATGACACTCCACGATGTGATATCGTTCGAGCATGGTTACATCTCTCCCCTTAACAATGTACGTCTCCTCTTAACTAACTCCTTCATTCGATATTTGAGGATTTACCAATCTATTAGCACGATTAAGTTTAAGGCATGATTCTAATATTATAATATTATGTTAGACGAACACGACTCTCTACAATAATATTATACTGTCCATTTAAATATAACTTTTCAGATAATGTCAGAAATGACGTGGCACAACAATTTAATGTATATGTTTTTAATTTATAATAATCTTTTTAACTTTGTATTTTTAAAAGTTCTAATAGTTAAAAGATACGTTATATTAGGTATGTTTTTTTCATTTACAAATGGTATATAAATATTATAAAATAAAATAATTGTGTATTTACGTATATTTTCTATATATCACAAATAGGGGTGTACATTTAACTCGATAACTTGACAACCCGGACCAACCCAATCTGAACTATAAGGATTGGGTTGGGTTAGATTAACATTTTAGGTAAGGTTAAGTTCATTTTTCCGAACCCGAACTAGGTTTCGAGTTAAAGGGCAAAACCTTCGAATTGACCCGAATAAAATAAAATATATAAAATGTATTAAAAATTCTTCTTATGGATTTGCTAGGCATTCGAGGCGAGCCAACTACAAGTTTTTGTTTTTATTATTTTGTTATTTTATTGTTTTATTTATATTATTTATTCAGTTTATATTATTTATTCGGTTTATATTATTTTATTATTTTTAAAAATATATCGTTTATCATATAATAGAAAGGTTTATTAATTATGATTTATGCCTACTTAATTTTATTTTTCTATAGGATCGGCAATATATAAATAGACATATTTTAATTAAAATATTTTTATATATTTTTTATTTTTATTATATACAATATCTTTAAACTAAAAATATTTTTTATTTTTATTATATACCATATCTTTAAACTAATGGTTTTTTTTATTGTTTATTTAATTTTATGATCTATTATTTTTATTACTTCAATCAATTCTAAAAAGACGGCGGTTGTTTTTAGTTTTATGATAAATTAATTGTTTTTAGTTTTATGATAATATTAAACTAGGTTAATATGATACAATTTTCGCTCATTCATTTTTATTTAATTTGTTTTGTTTTTGTTTATTTTTTGTTTTTTTTTATTTTTTTTATTTTTTTTTTGTCAATAATTATAGATTGATTTGTGTTTGTCTGTGAACTTTTAATATATTTTATTAAATAAAATTAAAAAAAATCTGACAACCCAACCTGAAAATAGAGGGTTGGGTTGGGTTGTGAAAAGTGTTGGTCACCAATCCAACCAACCCGAACTTTGAGTTGAGTAAAAAAAAATCCTCCAACTATGAACATGTACACCCCTGATCACAAATTATTATAAAATTATCAAAAAAGAAATATAACTCAAATATAATTTAATCCAAAATTAGTTAACCATGTATAAAAAAATTACAAAATTAATAAAAATATCTTGTAGATTATGTTAAAAATATTTTAAAATTTTTAAATTTTTTTAATAACGCTCTTAAAATTATAAAAAAAAAAATTATTAATTTTGGATGAAAATTAATATTCTTTTCAAAAATATATTTTAATTTTTAAAAAAATTTATTGATATCTTTCAACTAAAAAAAATTAAAACCATTAATATTTTTACTTAAAAAAAATATTAGGAGAAGGTTGTCTATTACATCAAATAAATTATCTACAAATGTTTTAACGTTAAATGTGAGTAAAAATATTTATTTTATTTTTTATTTTTTTAAGTTTTAAAAAAATTTAAATGAAAATTTTGAAAATTAAATGATATTTTTTAAACAATTTAAGGATATTTAAGAATATTTTTGAAATTTTTTAAAAAGTAAATTTTATTAATTTAGCCTAAAATAATTAAATTAAAAAATAATTATGTTTCATCGTTTTTCATCCCGTTCGAGGTGGGCCCAAGATTTATTGCAGGGGCAAAAGGGTCAAGAAGAAGAAAATGTAGAGACACGTGTAAAAATGCTCACCGTCTATGCCAAACTAGTTTGGGGTCAAATTTCTGCTGCAAATTGGGGGAAAAAGAAGGCGGTTTTGCAGCCACCGTTCCGATCATTCAATTCCCTCGAAACCCTGTTTTTTTCTGTTCCATTTTTTTTTTCCGGCGGAAGTGTACGATTTTTCTTGACCAAGATGTTGCGGATTGCGGCGAGAAGGCTCTCTTCACTCTCTTCCTCCCATTTCAGGCCCACTATTGCCTCTTCTTTGCCCGGTTCTCACAAGATCATCGATGGCGGTGATTCCGCCCCTTCCAATGATTTCAGATCCGTCACCTCCTTTAACACCTTCCCTTTTGGACCCTTCTTCGATCGTAATTGTAGAGGTTGGAGTTTGTTTGTTTCTCGTTTCTGGTTTTAGTCGATTTATGACGTTTTTTAGGGCTTGATTTTGTGGACCTGTGTTGCCTTTTTTGTTGCTTGAAAGGGAAAATCCTTATTTTATATCTGACTTGCAGTATTGTGTCACTTGCTTGTGTAGCGATACTTGTTTTTTAGCCGTAGATCGTGTTCGATAATCGTCTTTATTGATCTGCTATTTAGGCAGCATTCATGATGTTGAATCATGCTTTGCACATTCATTTCTCGTTGTGAAAATAGTGTTTTTGGGGCATATCACTTGGCCGATGCAATGACTTCCTCGTAGTGTCCATGTTTGAATCTTCCACCGTTTATATTCCAAGTCTTTAACTTGTTCTACCATCGTGTTTGCATTGCACATTCATTTTCCATTTTGTATCCATTGAATTGTTATTTACAGCAATAGGATGATATCCCATTGCTGAAGCAACCCCTTCTCTTTCTTTTCCAATTCTTTCACTGTATGCTTTTATATATATATGCTATACTGCTGAGACTCGTACTTCTCTAAGGAACTGATGTTTCAAATGGTACAAGGTTTTGGTGGATCGATTGTGGTTGCTCTGGTGTCCACTTCGAGTGTATAAGTTTAAGTGCGAGAGTTGTGTTTCTTCTTCTCTAAGGGTGGTTAGAATCATTCAGTTTAGAGTTTCTGTTCTGATAAAGTTCAGTGCATTAATACCTGTTCGAAACTCACTATCCAGGTCCTACAACGAACCGAAATAATGAGCTTTATAGGAAGCTAATCGTTTCAATTCCTCATGCAATACCTGATAGAAAGAAAGAAAAAAAAAGCCTTGACCATTTTGGGGTTCTAACCCATCAGAAAAGCAATAGAGGCATATTTCAAGGATGAAGGGTGATGGAGATGAGGACAGAAAGGCAAAGGAGACTAGTTCCCACCAACAATTCTCCCTAGTAGTAAATTTTAAGCACTTGAAGAAAGAAAACCAAACAAATTAGCTTCCAAAGGTTGTTAAATGTGCCTTAAACCTCACAATTTGAAAGGTTGCACTCAACCCAATGAGGCCTGTATTCTCGCTAAATGCTACAATCCTATGCCACCATGAAATAGACTCCAAAGGGAACCATCAACCATTTTGTGAGTACTTGCACATTCTAAGGCCCTCTGGAAGGATTATATTTGTGCATACTGCTCGACCCTTTGGCAAGAAAGAAACAAGAGGATTTTTCAAGATATCTTTTGTAATTTCATACTATCAATGATTTTTTGAATCCCAAATATATATAGCTTCCTTCTCATCTATCTTTCAAACTACTCAAATCACGCTATTGTTAAATGTGGCAATCATTTGTTTCATATTCGTTTCAGCAAAATTGACGGGCCATTGTGACCCAACTTTTTTGTTTTGGACATTTATTCTGAATCTCTGGTATCTCCTCTATGCACGTTTCTACATTTACTTCTAAGTTCCAACTGTTGAGATCTCTGACAATCAAATGTCATAGAAAATAACCTTTACACGTGCAATTGATTGGAGTTTCTTTTACTCCCGAACTTTTTGTGAAAGTCGTCGATTGAAACGTTGGCTTGAAATTTGTTAGCACTCTGGAAACAGTTTAGAGGCTTGCTTGTCTTCTTGTTTGTAACTTTCAGTGGAGAAGGTGTCCTGGCATGTTATGATTTGGTACTCATTAAATGGTTTAGACGTTGGCCATTCTGTCCTAGGTGATTGATTGGATGATTGCTTTTCAATTTTTATTATGTAATTCAGCCCTTTTATTATGAACGATTCTCTCTTTCTCCTACGGTGAAGTTTTATGATTTTATAGAGATAATTCTTTGCTAGGTTTTGCTTCTGATGCATTGACTTCAACAAAGGAAACCGACTTAGTTCCAGATGTTCCTGCTACTGTAGCAGCCGTTAAGAACCCTACTTCAAAGATAGTCTACGACGAATACAATCATGAACGGTTTCCTCCGGGTGACCCCAGCAAGCGTGCATTTGCATATTTTGTATTATCAGGTGGTCGGTTTGTCTATGCTTCTTTGATTCGTCTACTTGTTCTCAAGTTCGTCCTTAGCATGTCAGCCAGTAAGGATGTTCTTGCTCTGGCTTCACTTGAGGTTGACCTTTCAAGTATCGAGCCTGGCGCTACCGTGACAGTTAAGTGGCGTGGAAAGCCAGTATTCATCAGGCGTCGAACTGAGGACGATATTAAATTAGCAAATAGTGTGGACATTGGATCTCTTCGTGACCCACAGCAGGATGAAGAGAGAGTTAAGGATCCAGAATGGCTTATCGTGGTCGGCGTCTGCACGCATCTTGGCTGCATTCCCTTGCCAAACGCTGGTGATTACGGTGGGTGGTTCTGTCCATGCCATGGTTCCCATTACGATATCTCCGGTAGGATCCGTAAAGGACCAGCACCATACAATTTGGAGGTACCTACCTATACCTTCTTGGATGAGAACAAGCTCTTGATTGGTTAAGAAATCAAGCTCTTTTTCTGGGTCTATAGTGGTTTGGAACGTTCGTCAATGATAAGATAGTGTCTTAAGATTTACTGCTGGCACATATATATATACTTTTTTTCCACGCAATTTCTTTGAGTTAATATTTATGTAATGAGAATGCTGTAGCTGTATCTTGGTGCATGAATGAATCTGAATAAGTTGCTTGAATGGGTGTTGGGACCCATAAGGTGAGATCTTGTGATTTTGTAATTTTGACTTGATAGTGAAATAGGTACCAAATTTTGATTTATTTTGATTTATTTCATTTCATTTCACCATGAAAGCTCGGTTTCTTAACGTTATGGTCGAAAATAGGGACAAAATGTGGGTGAGAAATGTCCTAAGCTCGATTTCTTAACATTATTTCTTAACATTATGGTCGAGAATAGGGACATTTTGGTGAGAAATGTCCTTGCACGTTTTGTCTATATAGAACGACCAGGTTCGCCTTCCAGATTTGGAGCGACAAGGACGCCTTCCAGATTTGGAGCAACAAGGAAACATTCTTGTCATTCCAGGGAATTAATTCTACTTCAATTTCATCTAATGTTGTTCTTATTTTGTTCTTATTGTGGACTAATTTAATAAAAATATCTTTAAATTTTATACTTTTAAAAATAATTTGAACTTTTTAAAAAAATTAAAAAATATCATCTTAAAAAAATATTTATGAAATTTTAAGAATATTAGTTAAACTTTTTTAATAATAAAAAATATCTATGAAATTAATGGAATTTTTTAAACCCTCTTGAAAAGTCAAAGGGTAATTTTTAAACAATTTTAAAGTCAGAGTCATTTTTCTTCCAAACTAATGATAAATATATTTCGTTCTTCTAAACTAATGGTAAATATGTTTCGTTAAGGTTAATATTAAAATTTTCAAAAAATTAGAAGTATTTTTAAAATAAAATAAATAATAAAGAGTATTTTTATTAATTTAAGCGGAAAGACTACATAAATGGACGGGAGTAAAATAAATATTTTGAAATTACATTAATAAGCTAAAAAAAATCGAAGTATAATGATAGCTGAAGTAAGCTAAACAAGGTTGAGGTCAAATATATATTGCTCATACCACTCCTGCGAATCGGGGGAAGAAGGCCGGTTCTTTTCTTCCATCGCCTCCTCTTGAATTCTCAATATCCTTCCAAATCCAAGCCTCCTCAATTCATTTCTGCATAACGAAAGGGTGGACGAAGATGTTGAGGATTGCGGCTCGAAGGTTCTCCTCACTCTCTTCTTCGCATTTCAGGCCCACTATTGCCTCTTCTTTGCCCGGTTCTCATAAGATCGCCGATTCCGGTGATTCCAATGATTTCAGATCCGGTGGATTCTTCAACACCTTCCCATCCGGACCTCACTTTGATCGCAGTTGTAGAGGTTAGGACTTGGTTCTTTATTTCTGGATTTCTTTTTGTTCTTCCTGCTCGTGGTCGATTCATTTCGTTTTTTAGGTTGTTTTTGTCGCGATGCGATGTCCTGTTCGCTGTTTAAAAGGGCAATCCTTGTTCAGTTATCGTAGATATGGATCGGTATTCATCTTTGTTGATCCACTGTTTGATTTCTTTGATGATTTTGAATCATGCTTTTGCGTATTAGTTTCTCGTTTTGAAAATAATGTCAAAATGTGAAAGGTGTTTTTTGGTATTTTCGGGGCATTTTAACGATATCATCTTGACCGAAACAATCGCTTTCTTCTTCGTTGGCAATGTTTTTTGAATTGGTTCCTGTAAAAGCTCACCATTATCAATATGGGATCTTCATTACCAATTTTTTCCCTCTGTTTGTTGGGTATAATTTATTGTTGTTGAAAGAGTATGGTTGTTATCTACAAAGTTTAAGCCATTGTCTTCCCCATGTAGAGTGTTTTTGTTACTATTGGGATGAGTTTGATCAACTGCTTGAATTTGAATATACCATCAACATAATTTGCTAGCAGTAATTTATATTATTCTACGAGAAATAGAGATGTTTTTTGATCAATTAATTTACGCAACAGATAAGAAGGTACGGGGGGATTATTGATCCTGTTACTTGTATGAAATAATGTAGAACTAGCATACGAAAAAATGAACTAGGCTTTAGGGAATTCTGCTTTACCTCGTTCAAGAAGAATAGTCCATGTTTTCGCTGGGGTCTTTCCTTCCTTAAACCTGACTTTCCAGAAGCATCTTGTGAGATCCCACATCGATCGAAGAGGGGAAAGGAGTGTCAACGAGAACCCTAGACTCCGAAGGAGGTGGATTGTGAGATCCCACACCGGTTGGAGAGGGAAACGTTATAAGGGTGTGAAAACCTCTCCCTAGTAGACACATTTTAAAAACCTTGAGAGGAAGCCCGAAAGAAAAAGTCCAAAGAGGACAATATCTACTAACGGTGGGGACCTAGACTGTTACACATCCATCGATAAGAATTTATGTTTTCAGTATTGTAGCATCTTTCAATTAGTATATTTCAGTATCCCTTCAGAAGTTTAGGTCTTTTCTTCGGAGACCCTCCAGTTTCTTTCTTCCTAGGTTTCCCTAAAGCCCGAGCCACACATCTCCACAAAAATCTAGCTTTTCCTCTAAGGCTTCAAAAAGCCACTCCAAAACTGACTCTGGAGTGCACAAAGTCAGGCCAAACTGCTGTACAATCTGACCCCAACCTCAGACACTAGAGGAATAGGTTCTCTGGATTTTCTTGTCCCCTTCATCACGAGCTGCGAACTAATGTCGATAGATTCCAATTTCCAAGCTTCCTTTGTATTCTGTCATGGGTATTCAAGCTTTTGTAAGCAATACTCTAAAGGAAGGCGTTTACATTGTTTGGGACATTAAACTCCCAAATCATAGCAATCCTAGGGGATTTGGAGCTTGTGGGATGTTTTGAACAACTATATGAAAGCAGGTCTTGTTGAAGAAACCCCAGATTCCTCAAGGGACCTGCAAGCTTTGTCCATACCATCTCCCAGCCTTATAGTAACAATCAATTCTATCAACCCAATTCAACTTTCAAATTCTCTATCCATTATATCTCTTCTAAAGTCAAGATTCCAATCATTGTTCTCCAAGTTGCGGTACTCTTCAACCGTTTTTCTGAGCTATAAGGAAGCGATCAGGGAATGGATGCTACCCATTTGTCTCTCCAGAGCCCTTGCTCTTTTTCGCCTTGAAGTTTTTGAATTTGAAGAAAAACACACTATTTCTTGCAATGTCGAACCGAGGTTTGTCTTTTGATGTTCCTTTTGGTGGAAGGGAAGCCCGCCCTAAAGGCGCACACCCGCAAACACTAAAGATAATCCTTTGTGAAATAGCTTCACAGTTTCTGCTAAAAAAAAAAGATTGGATCTCTTTAGTCGAATTCCATTGGCCCTGAAATTCGAACTCACGTTGAAAATCCTTAAAATTTGCTCTAGAAATTAGGCATAGCAAGAACAATTACACAATGCTTTTGTTATCTTGAGAATTGATCTTCTATGCCTCTGCAATGCATCAAACTGCTTCTTTATGAAACAACTAACTCAGATCAAGTTTTATCACAACTAATTGTGGGGCTTTACTCCCTAGCTTCGTACGAATGTCGAGAATAGAAATATTGGTAAGAAATCTTCACTGGAGATGGTTTAGAGGCCTGCTTTTTTATATATAGTGGCATTTTATGGTTCGGTTTTATGTCGGATACTGAAATTAAACATTGAAAAGGCTATTATATGGTTTTGATTTGGAATCTGTCTTTAACGATTACTTAAATCGTTTGAAGGCCGAGCATGAGCTTTTCGATTATAATTTGTGATTCGACACTCTATGCAAGACTGTTTCGTTTTCGGTCTGGCATGGTTTCATGATCTTATGGAATGACTCTGCTAGGTTTTGCTTCTGATGCATTGACCTCAACTAAGGATGATGGCTTAATTCTGGATATCCCTGCAACTGTAGCTGCCATTAAGAACCCTTCTTCAAAGATCGTCTATGACGAATACAATCACGAGCGATTTCCTCCTGGTGACCCCAGCAAGCGTGCATTTGCGTATTTTGTATTATCAGGTGGTCGCTTTGTCTATGCTTCTTTGATTCGTCTCCTTGTTCTCAAGTTTGTCCTTAGCATGTCAGCCAGTAAGGATGTTCTTGCTCTGGCCTCACTTGAGGTTGACCTTTCAAGTATCGAGCCTGGTTCTACCGTGACAGTTAAGTGGCGTGGAAAGCCAGTATTCATCAGACGCCGAACTGAGGACGATATTAAGTCAGCAAATAGTGTAGACATTGAATCTCTCCGTGACCCGCAGCAGGACGAAGAGAGAGTTAAAAATCCAGAGTGGCTTATCGTGGTTGGCGTCTGCACGCATCTTGGTTGCATTCCCTTGCCAAATGCTGGCGATTACGGTGGGTGGTTCTGTCCATGCCATGGTTCCCATTACGATATCTCTGGTAGGATCCGTAAAGGACCAGCACCATACAATTTGGAGGTACCTACCTACACCTTCTTGGATGAAAACAAGCTTTTGATCGGTTAAGAAACCGATCTCTTATTTTCGACGTAACATAAGAGGTTCAAAACCCTCAAGTTATATCAAAAGCAGATATAAGCTGCAGACATGTTTTGTTTCATTTTAGAAATCTTTATTGCAGTGAGAATACTGTAACACTACTTGGCTCATGAATGAATCTAAAATAATTTGACTGAATGAGTGAAAGAGAGAGAGATTAGAAGATCCATGTGGCCATATTGAATTTTGATGCTATGATTCATGTGTTGGAAAATTGTTGTACAAGTTTCAATTCTTTTCCAGAATCTGGACTGATTGAATGTAACTCATGAAGATTCCTACAACTATGGTAAAGAAAAAAAAAAAGAAAAAAAAAAAAAAGAAGAAGATGAAACTGATAATAATCATTGCTCAAAAATACCTTTGACATAGACCATGCCCTTTTCACTCAATTGAAGCTCCTTTCTCATTTGCTCTACTTGCTGGTCATCTCCTTGAACAATAATCTCTCCCAGGCTTCCATCTTCTCCAACTATCATTTTAACTTTGATCTCCTCCTTTCTTGATGCTTTCACCCAGTAATATGCTCCTCTGCAGTTTTCAAACAGCCTCAGGTTAGATTCTAAGGTTCTATCATATATCTCAAATTTTAAGATCATAGATAGAATTTGAATTTGAGAGACCAGTTTATGATATTATTTTATACAAGGTTAATTAAAATTTCGTGAATTTATGCATGTTTATGATAGACTGAATTTCTTACTTGTATATTATTGAGTTCAATTATATATGCATCTATTAGATTAAAGAAAAGGGGTAACACTTAGTCGATGAAATAGGGTAGTAGCAATTTACTAAGTCATATTTTGAAAATTAAAAAAATATTTTAAAAAATTTGCTTTTGGATTTGTGTAGGAGATGAAACCCATAATTGGTAACTGAGAACGAAGAACAAAATTTGGAAGCTTAAAAGATCATATGATTTTCGGAAGGTATGAAGCCTAAACTAAAATCAAAGATCTCAGAAAATCTTGATCCAAACTGACACCATAATTTCTTTCTTTTCCAAAGGTATGAAGGTTAAATTAAAATCAAAGATCTAAGAAAATCTCAATGGATATAGGATATTTATTCGTTGAATATTCGGGTAGCGAAGGAGATCATGATTCAAAGAGGACGTGTTTGAAAGGATTAAAATGGCTTTTGTAAAATCGATCTCAAATATGTCATTAATCATTCAAACTTCTTGAAACATTGGTTTTGAATGATCAAGATTCTAGTAATTTCAAAATGACTATCAAACAAGCATGCATGCCATGAGTCGGTGTTAATATATAGGCGAGAAGTTCAGTGGCACTTACGCTAAGGGACTCAAGCTGCTAAGCCAGAACCAATTGTTGCCAATATCTGGAAATGTTATGGTCAGAACAAGACCAACGCTGGCCAAGCTAATGCACGTACAAAATGTCAACAACGCCGCTTGGCCTCGACTCGGCACCATAGTTCCTTCAAACCTTCACAATTAAACATCGATCGAACATCCAGAAGTTAATTCAATGCAATTGAACTTAACACTCAGAAAAAAATGAATCACAAAATTGTAATAAATTCCAAAAGAAAATCGCATTACGTAATGGTTTCGCCTCTATCAGTGACTTGGAAATTATTGCGAGTGAAGAACGACAGAATCTCTCCAGCAAACTGATTCGGCGCCTTCTTCGATTCTCCTTCACTAACGAATGTCTTCTTCACAACCTAATCGACGCGATTCAATCAATACACAACATAAACAGAGAAATAACAGAACGATGTAATTCGAATTGCACCGGAGGTGAATTTATCAACAACCTTGGATTTGACGGATCGCTTGATGAGAGACCACAGGCCAGGCACGGAGATAACGAAAAGGCCGAGAGAAGTGTAGTAACTGGCCGTGGAATAGCCGACACTCTCAGCCAGGAGGAAGGCGGAGTTGTGGTGATCTTGAAAAGCGACAAGCGGCTCCACATTGACTCTTACCGCTACCGATCTCTGCGGCCTGAAATGAGTGCGAGGTCTGCCAAAGCATGGCCGTGGAGTTAGGTCTCCGGCGGAAAAGGAGCTGGGAGGGAGAGATGGGGAAGGAAGAGGATAGAGATGAGATGGTAAAAACTTAACCGCCATTAACGTCGACCAGAGAAAGGAGGGGGAGTGAGTTTGATGAAGAAGAAGAAGAAGAAGAGAGAGCCACAGCCACAAGCAAGAAGAAAAGGATAAAAGCTTTGCTTGTGAACGTCACTGCAGCATCTTGTGGTTGCCGTTAACCTTCCCACAAATTGGCTCACTTGTTCTTGAGCCGACTTCTTTTTTTTCTTTTTTTCTTTTTTTGTTAAATTACCATTTCGTCCAACAATTTTATATTTTTTTTTATTAATATGTCCCTAAATTTAAAAAAATATATATATATATTTAATAGGTCTAAGAAATCAATATTTAATCGATATTTAGATTAAAAAAATTAAATAAGTCTTCAATAAATTTCTTAAATACTTATTAGACATAAAATTTAAATTAAAATAAAAAGTTGAAATATTTGTAATATAAAATTCAAAAAATATAAAGATTTATTAGAAATTTTTAAAAAATTATAAACTTTCCTTCATATGCTTTTATTATTATTATTATTATTATCATTTTTAAATATAAAATTCGAAAATATAAAGATTTATTATAAATTTTTAAAAATTTATAAACTTTCCTTCATATGATTATTATTATTATTATTATTATCATTTTTAAATATTTATTCAAAAATATAAAGATTTATTAGAAATTTTTAAAAAATTATAAACTTTCCTTCCTATGTTTTTTTTTAATATCATTTTTAAATATAAAATTAGAAAATATAGAGATTTATTATAAATTTTTAAAACATTATAAACTTTCCTTCATATGCTTTTTTTTTTATTATTATCATTTTTAAATTTAGGTATATATATATACATATACATGTACGACACAAATTAAAAAAAAATTGTAGGCTAAACGTATAATTTTAATTTATTTTATTTTTTATCAGTTAATTAGAGTTAGGATTGGGATGAAACTCAAAAATATAGTAAGAATTAAGATT